CAGAACATATACATATACAAATACACATGCATGTACATATACATATACATACAAACATCAACACATGCCTGTATATATATACACATATACATCTCATTTTACATGTACATATGCATGGGCATGTACACGCACGTATATATGATGCGTGCGTATGTATATTTAATGTATATAAATATATATATATACATATTAGACCCACGCGCGCGCTACGCGCGCGTTTAGGTTCTAGTCGCAGATGGGCCACTGGTGCCGCTGTAAGCCCCGCTGTGGCCACAACGACGATCTTCACCCTTCTCAGGCCCATGCCACTGACGCAAAGAAACGCGTATTCAGAACGCGGGGCGCCACGTTCCCGCGTAACTTAACATTCCGTTTCCTTCGACGCCGCGTGTATCGAACTGCGTTTTTTGTCTTTCGCTTCCTCTCTGCCCCGTCGTTGCACTCAATGTTTTGCAATGTTGCTCGGTATCCCCAAGCCCGATCACGCAAACATCCGCCAGCCCCTGATGTTGGGGTTGGCTCGGGGCTTCGTTTCGCGCGCGTGGGAGCGCGTTGTTTGTTATCCATTTTCCTTGTGTTCCAGGCTCTTCGTTTTCAGCGGTCGTTCAACTGTTGGGTATATGCAGAAGGCGCGCGCATATGTCCGGGTCATCAGTGCCGTGTTCTGCAATCAGTGTTCTGCAATCAACTGTTGTCGAATACGTTCACGGGGGTGGGGAAGTCCCACCAACCCTCTGGGCGTAGGTGGTTTAGGACATTTTCTCTTCCATCCCTCCCTCTTCCCCTTCGGGGAGGGAATTATCCTTCCCCCTACTCCCCCCCCTGGGCCTGGACGGGGCGTTCCGCGAAAACGGCCTCGGCGAGGAAACCACAATCACTGGTTGTACCAGAGTTTTGGCCCCATTTTGGCCTCCTGGGGAGGGGCGCGGCGAACCAGGGGACCCCCCCTCCGATCGATCTCCTCCGAGATTGCCCCAACAGCGTTCCCGAGGCTCCCAAGGGTGCCCCAAAACGGCCCCAAGAGGTGACCAGGAGGCCCCAAGGGGCCCCCAAAACGCCCGCAGGATGCCTCCAAGGGGCCCAAACAAAAACCCAAGAGGCCCGAAGGGGTCCCCCAGAGGCATCCAGTACGTTCCAGGAGGCCTCGGCGAGAATGCCAGAATCACTGATATTACCAAGGTGTTGGCCACATGTTGGCCTCCAGGGGGAAGGCGCACTGCTAAATATGATTTCAAAAGCGCCTGGGAGAGCCCGAAATGACCTCCAAGATGGTTCAAGATATCCCAAGATGTTTCAAAATGGTTCCCACGATGCTCCAAGAGGCCCCAAGAGCGCTCCAAGACGGCTCCACGTGGCCAAAGAGCTCCCCCTGGAGGCCCCTACGAAGCCAAAGTCCTTCCAAAACCTTTAGAACATCATTGTTTTGGCAAGTTCTCGCCTTTTGGCTTCCGATGGCCATCCGAAGCCTCAAGATGGCTCCAAAATTGCCCAAGAGGGCTTCAAGAGCGCTCCAAAGGCTCCCAAAAGCGCATCCAGAGGGCCCCAGGAATCGCCCAGGAGGCCCCAAGAAGCCCCAACAGGCGCCCCAGAGGCCTCCAAAAGGCTCCCAACAGACCCCCAAGAGACCCCAAAAAGCTTTCCGAGGCACCCGAGACGCTTTAAGAGGCGCCCGGGACCGCCAAGAGGCCCCCACGACGCTCCAAGAGGCCTCCACTGGAGGACCCTTCCTCACTGCGTGCTGCCCACTTCCCTGATCGAGGCAATTATTCTGAGCATCGCTTCTGGATGGGATGGCGTTTCTGGATGGGGTGGTGGGGTTACGAGAAACGTATGGAATTTCTGTGTGCTGGACGCCAAATCTCACGCTGGCGACAATCGCACCCGTGGGATCAGAAGGTTCGGGCTCGCGGGGGATGCTCAATGATTTGCTTGGCATGTCCCATGTATGGGGCTGCCTGGAGCTCTACCGGGGCCTCTGGCGTTATTCTTGGCGCTGTGGCGAAGCCTTTCAGGAGGTGGGGAAGGGGCACGAAACCTGAGAAATCGTGTAGTGTAGCCACACCCCACTCGCTCGGGCGGGTCCGCCCTGCAAGGTTGGGAGGAGCAAGGATCGCGTGGAGGTCTCCTGGGAGCCTGGAGAGCCGCCCGAAACCTATCCTGAATTGCTTGCGAGCGTCTTGGGCCTTTCTTTGACGTTCTGGGGGCTTGTTGGGGTCGTCTTGGGCTGTCCTTGGGCGTTTTTGGGGCTCCCCGGGAGGCTGGGAAGCGCGGTATCTGGAGCGTAACCCAGATGTGAGCGAGGAGGAGGACGGCCCGAAAGGGGGCCCGACCGATTTGTTTGCATTAGATGTATAATTACCTTTCTAAATATATACATCTATGTATGTACATATGTTTATACATGTACTGTATATATATAGGTGCGTGTGCATCTGCGTGTGTATGTATGTATGTATGTATGCATGCATGCATGTATGTATGTATGGCTGGATGTATGTATGTGTGCATGTATGTATGAGTTAATGTATGACTGCATGTATGTATATATGAATACATGCATGCATGTATGTATGTATGTATGTACGTATGTGTGTGCTGTTGAATATGTATGTATGTGTATGTATGCATGCCTGCATGCATGCATGGATGTATGTCTGCATGTGTGTATGGATGGATGGATGGATGGATGGATGGATGGATGGATGGATGGCTGGACGGATCGATGGAAGGATGTTATATGTATGGATGTGTAGGTATGTACGTATGCATGCATGCATGCATGCACGTACGTACGTACGTATGAGTGTGTATGTATGTATGTATGTATGTATGTATGCCTGTATGTATGTATGTATGTATGTATGTATGTATGCATGCATGTATGTATGTATGTATGTATGGATGTGTGTATGTATGTATGTACTTATGTACGTATGTATGTATGTATGTATGTATGTATGTATGTATGTATGTATGTATGTATGTATATGTGTGCCGCCGTAGTCGGCGGCGCATCCCTCAAGGGGGGGCAGCGGGCGAAGAGAAGGGCGAGGAGGACAATCCAGGAGGAATGGCAGTACATAGGCCGCCCAGACCGGCGGCGCATTAAGGAGAGGCACACACACACACACACGTTTCTCTCCAGGGGCGAGTTGGCGGTACCGACGCGGTTACTAAGCCAGGGTACGCTTCCCAGGCGCTGCAGGCGTGTGAGTTCCCAGGGTAAGTCGCGTGCAGAAGAGTCTGTCGAATTCGGGTGGGTGGCTGCGCTAGACGACACACCCGCACGCCGCGGCCTCGCGCGCAGCGTCAACGCGTAGGAGGTCGGAAAGCGGAGAACGCGTGAGCGACCAGCCCACTCAGGAGCCGGGGGCAGGGATCCACCACCAGGGATCAACCGTGCCATGCGCACACCCGGGCGTGGGCTGCGGAGGGGGGAGAGACGAAGGGGCGGGACGGTGCCAAAAGGCCAGTACCGACAGCACCAGACGAGCAAGGCGAGGCGCAGTGGCGGTACAGGCATGACCGACAGGGGCGAGCGATAGAGCAGGACAGGACAGGCGCAGCAGGGGCGGCGAAGAGGAGATGAAGGGCAGCCGAAAGGCAAGAGTGGAAGGCAGGGGACCGCCGACACACACACACACACACACTCACACTCACTCTTTTTTGGCGTCGCGGCCCTGCGCGCGGCGACAGGGCGGAGAAGGTCGCGCGCGCGCGACTAGGAACGCCCGCGCCCTCAGAGAACGCTGAGGGTCACGCAGCAGCCCGCAGCCATAGGCCACACACACAGACACACATACACACACACGTCCAACCACAGTTCCGCCCCGTCGCCCGCTCCGTCGCCCGCTTTCCGAACCGCGGAAATGCCGCATTTGCCCAGAGACCAGTCCCTGGGTCTCTCCCTCATTAGGGACTCGCGCGCGGTCTTGGAGGCTGGCATAAAAGAGGCCGAAACAACTGAACCACGTGTGCTGTGAGAGCTCCTTCTTCTGTTTCCTAAGTGCTGCCCTGAGGGCGTTACAAGACGGCCCCCGAGCCCCGAAGAGGGGCCCAAAGGGGGCAACTCGCAGGGGCCCCAGGAGTCCCCCCCAAGATGAATCCCCAGACTGCAGCAGGCCCCCAAGACGCGCACAGGAGCCTCATAAGCTCCTAGAAAGCCCCCAGGACGCCTCCAAGATGTCCTCCGAGAAAACACATTAGGGATCGAAGAGGCATTCGTTCCGCGGCCCAGGCAACGGGGGCGGGATGGGCCGACGGCCACCATTTACATAGTTTCCCAGCCACATCAGCGATTGGCGAAAGAGCGAGGATGCACGGCCCGCCTAGCCGAGCCGGGTGAGCCGAAGAGGGAGGCCCGGAAGAGGGGGGTGCGCGTCATGGCCTGAGGCATGTACGCGGACGAGGGGGGCCGAAGGGACGTGCTGAAAGAAGAAGACGGGGCCATGGAATCTGGGAGATATCACGCCCACTGCGGTGCTAACCACACACGCCTAGTAATCACCGCCCACTTGGACGCCCCCGACTGAGGTTTGGGGGTCCTGACGCGGTGCGTTGACGGACCGTGCGGTGACCTTGGCATCCCCGAAAACCTCACCGCACAGCCTTGGGACCCTGAAGGCCCCAGCCGCCCGAGACACCCTCGGAGAACAACCAAAATCTCAAAAATCGCGCGGTCATCCCAAATCTTAGCACTCCCGATGGAAATACGAAAAATAGGCACGATGCCCAACGACAAATGCTGTCGAAATTCGACAGCGGCCACTTTTGGGCGGACGGCCTTTTGTCTCAAATGAACAACGCCTGCGGCGACGCCGACAGCGAGCCCTGTCCAAAGCGGACAGCAACTGCTGTCGGCATCCGTCCCCCTCCTCTCCGTACCCACCTCGGCCCCTCCAATTGGTCCCCGTTGACTCACAACACGGCGTCCTCACCTCACCACACTGTTTGGGGGCCCCGGGGACTGAGGGGCGACACCGCCGCCCGCCCGCAGGGACCGGGACGCCCTGGTCGTACTCCACGGGCGCGAAGCCAGGGAGGTAGACCGCCCGGGAGCGCGCGGCCAGCGCCGCCAGGCCGACGGCCCCTGGGCCTGCGCGGCGGCCAGTCCGCCGCTCCTCGATGCTCGCTTGCGCCTCGCTCGCGCCTCGCTCGCTCCCTCATTCCCCCCCGATCCTTCTCGCATCCTCGCTCACCCTCGTTCGTTTTCGGTTCTCCTCCTCCTCCTCCTCCTCCTGATGCTCCTCTTCCTCCTCCTCTTCCTCCTCCTCCTCATCTCCCCCTTCCTCCTCCTCCTCCTCCTCCTCCTCCTCCTCCTCCTCCTCCTCCTCCTCCTCCTCCTCATCGCTCGCCCTCGCTCCTCCTCGGTCCTCCTCGCTAACTATCGCCCTCTCGATCCTACAGCCTCGCCGGTTCCTCCTCCTCCTCCTCCTCCTCCATTCCGTTTCCTCCTCCTCCATTCCTCGTTATTATAAATAGCTCATCCCTGTCGCACCCCGAGGCCGGTCGAAAAGGCGGGTTGGGCGTTTCGCCTGAGACTCACGCACCATGTATGATCCTGAAGCTCAAGAATTGGCAACAAATTCACACCTGGAGGGTGGGTGGTTTTCAAAATGTGGCTATCGCCTTAGCGCCGCATGCATTCGTTCCAGGAGATTCACGGATTGAGGGCGGGTTGTTTTCGAAATGTGGCTCTCGCCTGAGCACAACGCACATTCGTGCAAAAATGCAAGAGCTTCACGGACTGGAGGCGGGCAATTTTCAACATGTGCCTCTCGCCTTAACGCCGCACACGTTCGTTTCAAACAATTGCTAAAGCTTCACAGGCTGACGGCGGCTCGTTTTTGAACATGCGGCTCTAGTCTTAGCGCCACACACAACGTTTTAAACATTGTTTGGTATGCGGGGCGAGAGCGAACCTTTTCCGCTAAAAGCTAGGCGGGCGACGCACAGCTTTGATTAGGGAGACAGGGTACAGTAAGGCGGGGCCTCAGGCGGCCGGAGCGGGCGGAGCCCGGGGTGCAGGTGGCGCCGAAAAGTTTGCACAAGAAAAGGTACGCCGCGGACAGGGGCCGGGGGCGAAGACCCGAAAGGCGAAGAAGATGGTGTTACCATTAACGGCACGTCACAACGTTTCAAGCATGTGCCAAAGCTTTACGGATTCCATGGTTAGCATACCATGAACGGTCTGACGTAACGATTCAGGACTGTCAGGGCGCGACAAGTACGTTGATCCGCGGTGCTGAAGTGCCAAGAACGGTATTCTGGCACGGTCCAGGATCGTCAGGACGGAACATTCAAATTAACTCGCGGCACAAAAAATCCAACAACAAATAATGTGGCAGGTCTTGGGGTTTTCAAACGGATGTCCAACGGGGCGCTTCCCTCAGTCAAAATGAACCCGTGTAGGGGCCTATGAAGAGGGAGCTTGGAAGGAGGGTAGATTCCAGCATCGTTGATGAGTCTTGGGTCGGCACTGGTCCTATTATTTCTCCTCCTCCTCCTCATCATCATCATCCCACCTCTTCTCATTATTACTATTAATTCGTGTCCTTCCTCCCCTTTCTCTTCTTATCCTTTCGTATCATTTCTCTTCTTATCATTATCCGACACCGTGCCAGCACGAAGTGGGCGTGTTCGAATGCGTTGTGTTGTCTGGTGGGACTTTCACCTTGAGTTTTAATGGACCCCTCCCCCCCCTACTCGCACGCGTGCCTCGAAAACTGCTCCCCTCTGAAATTGCTGTCTGGCGGTCATTTCGGCCTCCAGACGGCCGAGATGGCCTCCAAGACGTCGGCCAAGACAACGAAGACGACACCGAAACGGCTCAGGATGGCCCAAGAAAGCTCAAGAGCCTTCCAAGACAGCCTCACGACGGCCAAGGAGGCCCCCAAAAGAGACTCAAGACGGCCAACGAGGCTCCCAAGACGGCCCGGGAAAGCTCCGAGGGGCATTCCTGGAGGGCCCGAGGGGGCCAATCAAGGTTGTTGGAGGATTATGAGGTTCTCGCCGATTCGAGTTTCCGACCGCGCGAGACGGCCTACGAGGGCTCTAAGAGGCCACCAAGAGGCGTCCAAGTTAGCTCCAAGACAGCCCAAGACACACCCAAGAGGGCCCCAAGTCGGGCCACGAGGACCCACAGATTGCCCCAGGGGCCCCCAAGAGGGCCCCAACACGGTTTGAAGCGCTCCAAGAGAGCTACGAGACGGCCCAATGAGGACTGTTGGGCTGTCCTGGGCTGTCGGAAACCCGGACATACCAAAACCTCAACATCCTTCAAAAACCAAAAAACAAGTCAGTGGTGTTGGCCTCCTCGGGCTCTCCTGGAAGGCCTGGTAGAGACCTCTTGGACCGTTTTGGGGGCCTCCGAATCTGTCTTGAGGCCTTCTTGGGAGCCCCATGGCCTCCGGGACGGCTTTCAAGACAGCCAAGAAGACGCCAGGATTGCCCAAAATGGCCCAAGACGGCTTAAGAGGCACCCGAGACAGCCTCAAGGCAAATCAAGAAACCCCCAAGACGGCCCAAGAGGGCACCAAGACGTCCTCCCGGAGAGTCTGAGAAGGCCCAAACCCCTGATGCTCCTGGGGGGTTCGGAAGATTTTGAGGTTCTCGCCCATTCAGGTTTCTGACCGCCCGAGACGGCCCAAGAAGCCTCAAAGGAGCGCCCCAAATAGCTCCAAGGCAGCACAAGAGACCCCTAAGAGGGCCTCACGTCGGCCCAACAGTGTCCAAAGATCGCCCAAGGGGCTCCCCAAAAAGCCCCAAAAGGGCCGTGAACCGCTCAAAGAGGGCACCAATACGGCCTCCAGAACCCCAAAGCGGTCGCGGTAGGGGTCAGACGGGCCAAGGCTCCACAAAGACGACCCAAGGGGCCCCAAGAGGCCCCCAAGAGGCCCCAAGAAGCCTCAGAGAAGCTCTAAGGAAGCTCCCAAGGCGCCCCCAGGAGGCACCGCAAAAGCCCCGAGAAGCCTGTTTCACCCCCCATCATCATTTACCCACTCCTCCTCCTCCTCTTCCTCCTCCTCCTCCTCCTCCTCCTCCTCCTGCTTCTCCTCCTCCTCCTCCTCCACCGTCATCATCCTCATCATCCTCGTAATCATCATCATCATCATCATCATCGTCATCATCATCATCATCATCATCATCATCATCATCATCATCCGCATCATCATCAACAACATCATCAGCAGCAACATCATCACCATCATGACCACCCGCATCAGCATCAGCATGAGCATAAGCATCAACATCAGCATCATCATCTGCGTCAGCATCCTTATCACCTTCATCATCGTGATCATCCGCATCCTCATCCTCATCCTCCTCCGCCTTTTCCTAATCATCAGTTTCATACTCCCTCCTCGAAGGTTTCAGGTTTGAGCGCTCTTGCCTCCTCCTCCTCCTCCTCCTCCTCCTCCTCCCTCCTCCTCCTCCTCCTCTCCTCCTCCTCCCTCCCTCCTCCTCCCTCCTTCTTCCTCCTCATCCTCCTCATCCTCCTCCTCCTCCTCCTCCTCCTCCTCCTCCTCCTCCTCCTCCTCCCCCCCTTCCTCCTCCTCCTCCTCCTGCTCCTCCTCTTCTTCCTCCCCCCTGCCCCCTACTCGTCCTCCTCGTCCTCCTCGTCCTCCTCGTCCTTCGTCATTCCCCCCCGCCCCCCTCCACCCCCTACTCATCCTCCTCGTCCTCATATTTCCCTCGTTCTCTCTCTCGCCTCCTCTTCTTCCTCCTCTTCTTCCTCCTTCTCGTCTCTTTCTCTTCCTCATCCAGATCCTTCTCTTTCGCCTCTTCCTCCCCCTCCTCCTCCTCCTCCTCCTCCTGAGAAATGAAAGCAGCAGGGTGCCTTTGCACTAGCTGCTGTTTAAAACCGCGCGCAGCGCTGTTCAAACCTTGGGAAGCCCCTGGGCCGCAGTAGACCCGGGCGCGAAGCGGGAAAAGGGCCGGTGGACCACAGGACCGAAGCGGAGCTAATTATAAAGGACGGCTGTCAGCACCCGGGGGACCACCACCACCACCACCAGGAGGGGGAGGAAGGTCGTCAGCGTCGTCGTCGTCCGCCCCGCCGCCCGCCAGGCCGCCGCCCGCCGGAAGGAAAGGGGAGGGAAGGGAGGGGGGACCTAGGTGGGCCCCAGGCGGGGGGGCCGCGCCCCTTGAAGGCCCACCCGCCGAGGCCGGCGATCGCCTGCATGACGGCGACGCCGAAGCGGCGCGCCATCGCCCGCAGCTGAGCCCGACGCTGAATCGAGCCCCCGGCAGCCTTAGTGATCCACCCCGTTTTCGCCGCGACGCGGGGCTGGGCCCCCCAACAGGCCAGCGCGACCCGCAGATTCTCCCCGAGTTCGAGCCGACGCCCAGCAAAACGCAAGCACTCGGCCCAGAAGTGCCGAACCGACGCCCGGGTGTGCCCGCAACCGAACGGGCAAACGCACGCGCTGCCGTGCCTGCGCGTCGGCGCGCACACGGCCCCGCCCCTCCAAACGGCGAGGAAGTTCGCGTCGTATCGGCCCGGCCATCGCCGGAACTGGGTCCACGGCTGCGCGCTCTGAACAGCCAGATCGATCTCCCCAATCCCCTCCTCGTCGTGCCGCGGCGGGGGCCCAGGCGCCGCCCGGGGGCGAAGGAGCGCCGCCCGGGCGCACTCCCGGAGAACGTGCTGACCGCGATCGGATGAGGCGTCGAAAGCCCTCCGGGGGGGGCGAGGGGCCCAGTGCCGGGTTCTCGCTTCGCGGCTGTCAGCGGCGGCTGCAGCGGCGACCGCCGCCGCGGCCCGGGGGTCGAGCCCCGGGGCCGGAAGCAGCCAGACGCCTTCGGGGAGCGACCCGGCGGCAACCGGGAGCAGCCCGAACACGCCAGAATGCTCCGAGAGCGCCACCGACAACAACCGCGACGCGGGAACCCCCCGAGCCGCCATCAGCACAGCGCATGCCGCACCGAAGACAGGGTGCAACGAAACCCGCTCGGCGCACCCACGCCGAGCGCACCGCCAGGTGCAGCGAGTCCGGACAACAGACCGAAACGTGAGCGCGATCAGATCACATGGCGGGATCGCGCAGAACGGAGCCGACCGCCGATGTTTAGGAGCGATGCGCATCGGGGCCG